AAAAAAACAACAACACCTGACATTTAACTGTTGACAGTACAATTTGTTAGTCTTTTGTGGTAATGAAGGAGACACCCAGAAGCAGAGTAGCTAAAGGTTACATTAATATCACAACAGCTACAGAGTGTAACATATACCGAGAGATTCCTAAAAGATTTACTCTACAATGATGAGATTACTTGATTTACTCATCTGGAAAATAGCAGTTACAATAAAAATGGACCAATTCTTCACATAACACACAGATTTATAATAACAAAAATGTTTTTTTTTAATAGAGGAGCTCATATGGTAAATAGAAGAAAATAAATACACATTTAAAACATTATAGTCTTCAATTTGTTTGATCATTGTTAAATTAATTTTTTCTTTGCTTCTTGTATAGGATTAGGTATGTCTGGACACATAAAGAGTGTGTATGTGTACAAATAGATCCTAATCTGGAATGCATCCAGATTAGGATCTATTTGTACTCTGATATATAGATGTCATCAGGATTACAAAGACATCTCCTTTAATTTTAAGAATTGGCATTCAAGCTACTTTATCCAGATATTATTGCTTATACAGTAGTTATAGATTTTGTGATGAAAAAGAAATCTGTTGTTCTTTTAAGATGCAAGCAAAGAGTTAAGTGATCACTTTCTTATAAAAAGGCAGCCAAGATAGAACAACTTAGAAAAAAATAAAAGAGGCACTTGACAGTTGGACAAAGCAGAAAAGTAAGAAAAAAATAAAAGCAGACAACCAATATTTATAGAACAAAAGAAAAGAAAGACACTGATATTTTTGTGACAAACTAATAATTATTTTGTAAATAACCATGGAACAGTACTTATTCTACCCTCTGCTATTTCTTCACACAATATCATTAGTACAAAACAGTATATTTTATGTAAATTAAACACAGAATATCCCCTTAACCCTTACCCAGTGTTAGGTTGCCAAAGAACAGATGAGGAAGGTAAAACTAACCATACACACCCAAACCTTTATATAGTATTTCTACATTTATCATTTTAACATGTATCACTCTCCAAAATTAACTAGAAACAAACGTCTGCCCAAATACACTTATTTTGGTAATAGATCTGTACTTTATTTTAAAACAATCTTAATCATTATAGTGGTCATTATCATATTTGTAGCACTGAAACTGGTAAGATAATACAAGTATCTAAAATATTTTTAATATTAATCCTGATTTTATTGTTAAATGTTTTTGTAATTCTTATTGTATTATTGTGTGAAAGGAACAAAATAAATGTTAATGTTTATCCACATTTTTCATAATGATTGTTTAGTCATGTATGTTAATCAACTTTTTATACAAATAACTGAAGCTTTTCTTCATAAAGAATTTTATCTACCCCGAATGAAGGCAAATATACATGTGCCAGGATAATGTTGCAAGATCCAATCTGGGTCAGTCACCAGGACCAGAGGTTTATCTACTCTTTTGACTGTTCTAGTTAAGCTGTTTGTTTATTTTGTTTTATTTTTCTGGGATCAAATGGCAGATGTGACACTCAGAAAAATGTGTTCTCTCAACTCAAGTTTCCTTGACTATCATTAAAAAAAAATAATACTGGCAAATAGGTACTGAGAGAATGCTGATGTGAAAAACCAAATACAGCTTTGTCTATTGTATACACTGCTAAGAAAATATTGTTTTTGTTTGTGCAAAACTTTATGTATATTACAGCAGCAGAGAACACTCAATAATTGCAAACATACAATTATTCTTTTCATAATTTTACTTACCTTCCTCAGTGGTACGTGCAGATTTTGATTCACTGTCCATTCCTTGAAATTCATTGAAATATGGACGAACTTTGATATCATATGTAACCCCCTTTTTCAAATTGATAAGGATAGCACTCCGTTCTGTGGGAACATTGACTTCCACAGTCTGCCATGCAGAAGGGGAAATCAGGCCTGATGTCTGTCGATATATAACTCTATAACCCTGAATGAACTGTGATTGGCGATCAACCTGAAATAAAATTAACAGAAATGGTCCTACCATAAGTGGAAGAAATAAATTTAACTCAGTTCCTCTGAGCTGTCATTCATACTGTGTTTTTAACTATATAGTGTACTTGTTTCAAGTTGCCTTATTAAGAAAAATGGTTGCTTTCCCATAACTGTAGTTCTCCAAATGATCATAAAAATGATCAACTTTCTTGTGCATGATCAACAGGAAAAATGCAACTATAACCGAGGACATAGGTGTAATGTTCATCTACTGTTCATTTTTCTTCCTGTGGCTTACCCTCATTTCACTACCATCAATGCAACAGTCTGAAACTATGCCTGCCAGAATACGCACATTATGAGAAAAGACGCTGAGTCATTGAAAAGGTGAGTCATTGAATCAACAAATGACCAATGGGGTCATTAAGTCCCAGAGTTCCAGGCAAACAATCCATTTTTCTTCATACACATGAAAACCCATCTATTCCGTGCGGCCGGCCTGGCGTAGTATGTTTTAGTATAGGTTTTATATGGGGTATTTTAGAGCAGGCCTTTATTTATTTAATCTGATTTTAGAATAGATATTTATTGTGATTTTTATTATCGCCTGTTCACCGCCCTGAGTCCCGTAAGGGAGATAGGGCGGTATACAAATTTAAATAAACATAAACAAACATAAACAAACATAATACATATAGATGATTAGGAAGTTTATCTTTCAGGGGAAAAAAAACTCTCTTCCAAAAGACATACCATCGTGTGCTTAGGTAATACAATTACTTATAGACTTATATCTATAATGGGACATTGATAACTATGAAATAATGAGTAAAGAAACCAGAAACTATTGAGACAAAGGAATACATTTTAATACCATAGTTTTGGAACATAAAACCCATCTCAATGAGAAAAGCTAGAAAATTAGAAAAGAGAAAATTGTCAAAATCAATACTTAAACTCATGAGCATACTCCAAATGTATGATAGGCAATAATGGCACATATTGCAAAATTGTATTTCAGATCACAACAAAAAGAGATGCAATTAAATAAGTCATTAGAATCAATAGTGACATTTATGAGTGTCAGTTATTTTTTGCTAGAGTGAAATCTGGAAATAGAATAATTTTTTTGAAAGGAAACTGATTGAAGAAAAAGGTTAAGACAACCTCTCTGTGACCACAAAGAAAGAAAAGATTGTGATTAATATAAGGTGACCAACTTTTTTACAATGAAAAGGAGGACACAAATAAATTGAAGAAAAAAATATCGTAAATAAAAGAAACATTTTATTCATTGCAACAATAATACAGAATACACTATAATATGATAAATGCATAATAAAAACATTTGTAACAATTATTGTAATTATGCTTACATGCTGTGCCCCCGCCCGCAGCCGCCCCACCAGCACTACTGCCCCACCGTGTAGAGCGGACCCTGCGGCTCCCAAAGCACCAGCTGTGCCGGCTCTGGCCCCGGGGGGCAGTCCGCTGTTGACACACCCTGCCTGCAGCCGCCCCGCCAGCACCACCGCCCACCCTGCGCAGCCCTGTGTAGAGCAGGCCCCGTGGCTCCCACAGCACGGGGGCAGCCGGCCACCGCTGCCCCACACCCCTGCCCACAGCAGCCCCGCCGCCCCTGTCTCTTGCGCCCGCAGCCATTATTGCCCTAGCAGGGCCAAAGATCAAGAGAAAGTTACCGTGGCGTCACCACTCCAGTCTCCTCCAGGTATCTTCGGGACTAACTAGGAGATGATGTAGTTGGGAAGCAGGGAGGGGTGCAAAGTTCCTGCCAATTCACCTTCGCTGCAGACAACTTACATGTGCAAAGTTTGCCGGCTGGGTGTTTTGGCGCGCTCAGCAGCAATTCCTATTGGCTTTCGAAAGCCTATAGGGGAACTAGCATAGCTCATGCAAAAGTTGAAAAAAAAACCATCAAAAAAAGGTGCCAGAACGCCATTCTGAGCGTTCTATGAGAAAAAAAAGCCCTGCAGATTAGTCTTCAAATATCGAAAAGGAGGACATGTAGGAGGACACTTTTCGAGGGAGGACAGAACTCACAAAAGGAGGACTGTCCTCCCTAAAGGAGGACGGTTGGTCACCTTAATTAATACAAAGTTGGATGTGGTTTATGTGTACTGATGCTGATCATACTTTGCATTCATTTTCTGGTACGAGTCAAACTGTCTTTTTTCTAAATGGAATAGACTCTCCCATATTAAAGTACAATTCCTTGACAATGTTTTGCAGGTCTTTCAAAAGGCCCCAAATATATGCCTATGAAATCCAACAATTCCAGGGAAAAGGTTACAATTCTATCAGAATTTTGTGTATCTATGCGCGCGTTTACATTTAATTTTTTTAGAGAGAATAAACTTCCTACAAGAAACTGTGAGCATTCAGTGCCATAATGGGAATAATGAGAGCAAAGGTAATAAAATATTTGTAAAAGACAGAAATATTTGATAAGATGGTTGAAATTTATAATTATGCTTTCAAAACTAATATGGCAAATTTTTAAGACCTAATATTTGTGGTATCCAGGAGTAAAAAGTGTCAAGATAATCAATCAATCAATCAATTAATTAATCAATCAATGAAATTAAAAGTTTTATTTATATGAATGAGAATCCAACAATGACAAAATTAAATGAAAACATCCATATTTAGGCATCTTGAAGGAAGAATATACCAGGCAATTTTGCTGTGAAACTGGAAGACCAATATAAAGCTTATCTATGAAAATAATATTTAAAATTTGAATAGAGGATAAAAGGGATGCCGGGATTGATAAATAATGGTGACCAGGATTAAGAGCAATGAGCATGTTGTTGGCCATTAAGAAGCCTCTCTTATATTTCCAGCAGAATTAATATCCAGTAGAAGTAAGACATCATCAAACTGAACTAGTATACTTTATTGGGATGAATTATTAATTACCTGTAATTTCTGTGTTTGTGGGTTAAGATAAATAATTCCAGATATAACTGTTGCTTCTTCCCCACCCCCCATATCTATTGTAAAGAGTCACAGAGTGACCTGCAGTTAGTAGATTAGTCAGGGCTATCAGTTTTTTAAGTTCAGTTTTGATAAAAGATTACAAAAGTATACTAATACTATAATGACACTATTAATATTTAATACTATTTAGAGCCATAATCTACAATTAATTAACAAATGGTGAGGGAGCAAATTGGTTGGATAAGAAAGAGTAGACCGACCTGTGGTCACTTCTGAGCCAGCAATGTTTTGTCCCAAAAGAGAGCCTGGAGGCAAAAGAACTTATTGTACCAATCCTGTTCAATATATTTTTAAATTTACATATTTTTATCCTGCCTTTATTAATAAATAACTGAAGGCGGTGAACATACATATTTCCCTACATCAATAATCCTGAGAGATGGGTTGGGCTGAGAGAGAGGGACTGGCCCAAAGTCACTCAGCTGGCATTCATGCCTAAGGAGTGATTAGAACTCAACAGTTTCCTGGCTTTTAGCCTGGTGCCTTAAGGCACTAGACCTGGACAAAAACAAAAGCTGGTGTTAAGTGGCATGGCCACAAGTATGTCCAAGAATCTATATGGCTCAAGTTGTGCCTCCTGCCCAAAATTTCCTTAGCTGGTTTTAAAATACATCACCCATACTTATTATATTTAGACACTTCAATAAAGAACTGAACTGCCACATGTATTGGATTAAATCCACAAATACTTTCTCTTTTTTATTATGAACAACTAATGAAAGCAAGTTATAGAAGTGTGTGCACAATGTTACCAACAATTCAAGGAACTATGAAAGTACTTTTGTAATTATCGATGAGAATTATGTAAGAGTCACATCCAGACTATCTGTTTAGGCAACTGATGGACTTTTAAATTCTATTTTATAAATCACATTTTCACAAATATAGTTTCTTTCTTTCTTGACTGCTTGCTGAGTTTATTAAAGCTTTTATTTACTTATTCATTTACTGTTATATTGGTTTCAGCAATATAAGAATAAGCCCAGGTTTAGAGCTAAATCATCTTTCCAACATCAGTTACGTTTATTAAAATCTCTTTACACTGTTCATTAACTTTTTCAATGAAAAATCAAGTTCTTATGACTGGAAAAACACATACAAACAAGAAACTAAAACCAGATTTATGAGATCTAGGCATAAACACATTTAATCAAAACTGCCTTTGTTAAAAATCTTACAGCATATGTTACAATAACATTAAGTTTGCATTTTATAAACTTCTCTAGATACACTTTAAGTGAATTTATGCATTGAATCAAGGACATAATTCACAATAATAGCTTGTTAATACTGAAAGAATCAAGCTGTGTTTTTCAGAAGAACATTAAGCAGCTGCTTTCAAATGAAAGAGTCTGTAAATCAGGACAAATTGTTTTTATACACATTTGAGTTTCATTAATTAAATGTTTTATGGACATAAGAATCTATGAACCTAGCAGTTATTATAAAGCACAATTCCTCTTCACATTATATATGGCAATCAAAGGTGTTACATCAATGACACAATAATAAGAGTTACCTTTTCCGTACATAGTATTTAGGTAATCAATGAAAGTTTGAGATTATAAAACATTCCTGTGATATAATACAGCAATGTAAATTATTAGCTTCAGAGTGTTTATGCTTACTGTATTATTTATAATGCAAAGTACAAGTTTGAAGCTGAGAAATATAGTAGTATGATTAAAAGTACATCTGGCTTGCTTCTTAAATAGCTAAGTTTCAGGAAACAATGATCAGTGATTGAGTAGCCTTTTGTACATGAAATGATAAGCCGAATAGTCTTCATATACAGAGACAAAACATTTTTGAAACTGTATAAATTACAATGAGTAATTATAGTTATTCTACCAACTAAACAGGTATTTGCTAATATAATTTGCCATAGAAATGTAAAAAGCCTATCACATAATCTAATTTGATATATTATAGTCAAGTAATTTGAGAATCTGAGAAAGAAACAAGTTAAATCTAAGCTTTTCTACCAGTGGTATATAA